ACTTTCTTCACATCCACACCAACACTTAATGTCTATCTTAAAAAAAAAAAGATTTTATTTATTTATTTTTAGAGGAAGGGATAAGGAAGGAGAAAGAGAGGGAGAGAAACATCAGTGTGTGGTTGCCTCTCACGCACTCCCTACTGGGGGCCTGGCTTATAACCCAGGCATGTCCCCTGACTGGGAATCAAACCTGCAATTGATCCTTTGGTTCACAGGCCTGCACTCAATCCACTGAGCCACACCAGCCAGGGCATCTACCTTTTTGCTTACCAGCCATTCTAGTCATTGTGTAGTGATATCTCATTGTGGTTTTGATTTGCATTTCCTGATCACTAAATGATGGCTTATTGGCCATTTGTATATCTTCTTTGGAGAAATCTATTCAGACCTTTTTCCCATTTTCAAATTAGATTGTCTTTTTATTGTCAAGTTGTGAAAGTTCTTTATTTACTCTGGATACTAGACTGGCCAGAGGAGGATGGGGGTTTTGGAGGAAGAACACTTACCATTGATGAAATTTAGGATGTGACTCTGACACAGGTGACTGACTTGGGCAGGAGCAGAAAAAGATCACTAAATGTGAGGAAAGCAGGGTGTTGGATAAGTCATTTGTGGTAAGCGGAGCCACCAAGAATGATGGCATGTGTTGGGGAAGAGAGCAAGTGAAACAAGAGCTAAAATCTTCCTTGAATCAGTAAAAGTCATTGAGAGAGCGACAGAAGGGCCGAAGAGTCAAACTGCTGAATTTTTAGTGGGAACGATGAGTAGTCACAGAGAAGCAGTGGGGACTCACTTTGGGGTCTGACAATAAAAGTAGCATCCACCTAAGACCCTTTCACTGCATTACGCACCATGGTTTGGGGTGACACCTGACTAATGCACAACAGACTGGTAGTTACTCCAGGTAAACTGCCTTCCCACCTCAAACATGGGAATACTGAATATGCAACCAGGAAAAAAGTTCAACACAGTTCAGCCTGAAACCAAAATATGTGAACCCAAGTTAGGGTGTGTGCTGATGGTAGCTAAATTTATTACTTCTCTAGTTTGTAGAGAAGTAATACTAGTTTACTATCAAGATGGGATTGTAGTTACTGACAGGAGTAGAAATGTATATTCTGAGAGTGTAGATCCAAAAAACAATACCTTCACGTGACTAACATTAAAGTCATGTAACAATATTACTATATTAAAAATGCTGTTCAGGCCTTGGCTAGTGTAGGTCAGTGGGTTGGGCACCATCTCTCAAACCAAAAGGTCACTGGTTTGATTCCTGGTCAGGGCACAGGTGTGGGTTGCAGGCCAGGCTCTAGGATGAGGGTGTGAGAGACAACTTACTGATGTTTCGGCAGCACGTCAATGTTTCTCTCCCTCCCTTCCCCTCTCTCAAAAATTAAATAAATAGATACAACCTTTCAAAAAATGTTGTGTCCCAGCTGGTACAGCTCAGTGGATTGGGTGCAGGCCTGTGAACCAAAGTGTCACTGGTTTGATTCCCAGTCAGAGCACATGCCTGGGTTGCAGGCCAGGTCCCCAGTAAGGGGTGCATGAGAGGCAAACACACACTGATGTTTCTCTCCCTCTCTTTCTCCTTCCCTATCCCTTTCTCTAATAATAAATACATGAAATAAAAAAATGCTGTTGAGTCTAGTTGGGTTTGCATTGGGTTATATATTAATTTAAGGATATGGTAATGATAATATTGTCATCTTTTCCAAAAACTTGGTATGCCTTTTAATTTGCAAGATCTTGTCTTATGCTCTTCAATCTGATTTTTTTGTTAAATTTATTAAGTACTATGCAATTTTGAATAGGTAATACACTGATTGAAAATTTAATATAAAAGTGTAAAAATGAATTTAGTTAATTTTCTTGTCCATTGCTATTCCTACTCTCTACCAACTCCCCCCTCTTCCAGAGGTATTTTATGTACATATGAACAAACATACACACCTGTTTGCTGCAATTATGAATGGAATGTTTTCCCTTTTTTATTGTTTCTGGTTTATTGCTAAAACAGAAAAATGCTATTGATTTTTGTACATTTATTTAAATACTTACCAAATTTCCTTATTAATGCTAATAGGTTTTACTGTAGCCTTTTGGATTTCCCAAATACAGTCTTATATCAGCAAAACAAGAATTTATTATTCTCCAATATTTATGTCAATTAGTCTCTTGCCTAATTGCTTTCACCTGAATTTTCAAAGCAATGTTGAATCTTCAGACTTTAACAGAAAGAGCTTTAGCATTTATAATTAAAAATGATGTTTACAATGGGTTTTCATGCAGTTTTTCTTCCTTTTACTGACAGCTTTAATTTTATCAAATTATACTTAAAGCTGTAAGACTTTAGCAAATACTTTTTCAGCATACACTGATAAAATGTTTTATCTCCTTTCATTAAAAACAATCTTTATTTTGAAATAATTTTACTTACAGAAAAGTTGCAAAAACAATACAAAGATTCCTGTATAGCCTTTACTCAGTTCCCAAATGTGGTGCTCTATGTTTATTTACTGTTCTGTGTGTGTACATATGTATGTGTGTGTAGTTTCCTGAAATATCTGCAAACTGTCCTTATCTTTAACCTCTAAATGTCAGTGCATATTTTCTAAAAACAATGACATTCTCTTACATAATCATATAAGAAATATTATCAAAATAAGAATATTAAGGGAACCAACTGTGTGGGAAAATATATTTGCCAATGATATCCTGGACAAGGGTTTGATCTCTAAAATATATAAAGAACTCACATGACTCCACTCCAGGAAGACAAACTATCCAATAAAAAAGGGGCAAAGGACCTGAACAAAAGCTTCTCCAAGGAGGACATACAGATGGCTCAGAGACATATGAAAAGATGCTCAGCATCACTAGCCACCAGGGAGATGCAAATTAAAACCACAGTGAGATACCACTTCACACTAGTCAGAATGGCCATCATAACCAGATCAACAAACAATAAATGCTGGAGAGGTTGTGGGGAAAAGGGAACCCTAGTACACTGTTGATGGAAATGCAGACTGGTACAGCCACCATGAAAATCTGTATGGAATTTCCTCAAAAAACTAAAAATGGAACTGCCTTTTGATCCAGCAATTCAACTGCTGAAATTATATCCTAAGAATCCTGAAACACTAATTCCAAAGAACCTATGCACCTCAATGTTTACAGCAGCACAATTTACAATAACCAAGTGCTGGAAGCAACATAAATGCCCATCAGTAAATGAGTGGATCAAAAAACTGTGGAACATTTACACAATAGAAGACTATGCAGCAGAAAGGAGCTTCTACCTTTTATGACAGCATGGATGCAACTGGGGAGAATTATGCCAAGTGAAGGAAGCCAGGTGGTGAAACACAAATACCACATGATCTCACCTATAAGTGGAATCTAATCAACAAACAAGCAAGCAAAAGATAACCAGAGACACAGAAATTAAGAACAAACTGACTGTAACAAGAGAGAAAAGGGAAGGGAAATAACAGGAGAGAGAAGGGAAAGGGTTGTCAAAGAACATGTATAAAGGACCCATGAACAGAGCCAAAGTGGGGTAGGATTGAGAGTGGGAGGTGGGGGTGGGGGGAAAGGGGTGGTGGGAAAATGGAAACAACTATGTTTAAACATTAAAAAATAAGAAAATTAACACTAAATGTCTATAGACATTTAAATAATCTTTAAATTCTTTTTAAAGTTTATTTTATTGATTATGCTATTACAGTTGTCCCATTTTTTTTCTCCCCTTTATCCCCCTCCTCCCTGCTTCCCACCCTCCTCCTTAGTTCATGTTCCTGGATTGTACATATAAGTTCCTTGACTTCTCCATTTCCTATACTATTCTTAACCTCCCGTATATTTTGTGCCTACCAATTATGCTTCTTATTCCCTGTACCTTTCCCCTCCTCTCCTTCCCCCTTCCCATGATAACCCACCATGTGATTTCCATTTCTGTGATTCTGTTCCTGTTCTAGTTGTTTGCTTACTTTTTGTTTTATTGGTTTGGTTGTTGATCATTGTTGAGTTTGTTGTCATTTTACTGTTCATAGTTTTTTTTTTAAGATTTTATTTATTTATATTTAGAGAGAGGGAAAGGGAAAAGAGAAAGAGGGAGAGAAACATCAATGTGTGGTTGCCTCTTGTGTGCCCCCTACTGGGGACCTGGCCTGCAACCCAGGCACGTGCCCTGAGAATCAAACCAGCAACCCTTTCGTTCGCAGGTTGGCACTCAATCCACTGAGCCACACCAGATAGTTTTTGATCTTCTATTTCTTAGATAAGTCCCTTTAACATTTCATATAATAAGGGCTTGGTGATGATGAACTCCTTTAACTTTACTTTATCTGGGAAGCACTTTATCTGCCCTTCCATTCTAAATGATAGCTTTGCTGGATAAAGTAATCTTGGATGTAGGTCCTTGCTTTTCATGACTTTGAATACCTTGTAGCCCCTTCTTGCCTATAAGGTTTCTTTTGAGAAATCAGCTGATAGTCTAATGGGAACTCTTTTGGGGGAAACTCTCTCCTTCCCTCTTGCTGCTTTTAAGATTTTCTCCTTATCTTTAATCCTGGGTAACTTAATGATGATGTGCCTTGGTGTGTTCCTCTTTGGGTCCAACTTCCTTGGGACTCTCTGGGCTTCCTAGACTTTCTGGAAGTCAGTTTCCTTCACCAGAATGGGTAAGTTTTCCTCCATTATTTATTCAAATAAGTTTTCAATTTCTTGGTCTTCCTCTTCTCCTTCTGGCACCCCTTTAATTCAAATATTGTAATGTTTAAAGTTGTCCCATAAGTCCCTAAGCCTCTCATTTTTTTTGCATTCTTGTGTCCTCATTCTGTTTCGATGTTTATTTCTTCCTTCTGTTCCAAATTGTTGATTAGAGTCCCAGTTTCCTTCCCTTCACTGTTGATTCCCTGTATGTTTTCCTTTATTTCATTTTGTGTAGCCTTCATTTTGTAACCAAGCTCAATTCTGTGAGCATCCTGGTTAAGTTTAACTCTGCATCAACTCTGATAGGTTGGCTATCTCCCCGTCACTTAGTTCTTTTTCTGGAGTTTTTCTGGAGTTTCTGTTCTTTCATTTGGGCCATATTTCTTTGTCTTGGGGCACCTGTTACGTGGTAAGGGGCAATGCCTTAGGTATTTGCCAGGGCGGGGCAACCCTCTTTGCTGCGCTGTGGTGCTGCCTGTGGTGGAAGGGTCAGAGGGAACAATGCCACTTGCCGTGCTCTTGTCCCACTTTCCATCACTTCCCTCACTTCCCAAAAAGCAGACTGCAAACTCTCCTGCGAGACTGGGAGTCTCTCCTGCCACCGCAACCTCCACAGGTTTTTTTTTTTTTTTTACAGACAGGGGTTTTGAGTCTTTAGTTTCCCGTGCTGAAACCTGGGTTTCAAGGTCTGTCTCACTCCCCCATTGTTTCTCCCGGCTATCTGTGCTCGAAAGTGGGACCTCCTCTATGGTCCGCCAGCTGCTGCGTTGCCATGTGCCCTCTCCACCCTGGCTGCCTGTCTCCACGTCTCCACCTCTCCTACCGGTCTGGGTGAATGTTTCTTTAACTCCTTGGTTGTCGGACTTACACAGAAATGATTTTCTGGCAGTTCCGGTTGTTCTTGGTTTTTAATTTGGTTGTTATCCTTCTTTTGGTTGTGCGAGGTCAAGTGTTTCTGCCTATACCACCATCTTAGCTGGAAGTTTTAAATAATCTTCAAATCTTGATGTAGTAAAACACATTCATAAACGTCCTGATACGGAGGCTGAAAAAAGCTTGGGTTATATGATGCAGCGCTCAACATTATTTTATTTGGAATTTTTGCATCTATAGTCATAGGTGAGATTAGGCTATGGCATTCTTTATGGCACTTTATCAGGTTTTAGTATTAATCTCTTACGCTGGCCTTTAAAAATCTGAGCATTTTTTCATCTTTTCCCATGGTCTGATGCAGTTTATATAGTAATTAAAAATGACAACTCATCTTTTTTTTGGTGTTGACTTTGTGATAATCAGTTGAACTATATACTTGTGATTTTTGTACTTTTCCATATATATGAATAAAAAAGTTTAAATAAAAAATAGAATCTTCCAAAAGGATAAATATTTAATCACTTTTCCAATTTCTTCTTTGGTAATTAATTTGTCTATTCTAACAATAATGTTGGATCAGTGTTTGCTAGGAAATTATCTGTTTGCCTGGTTTTCACATTTGTTGCCATGGATTACTCCCAGAATTATTTAAAATTCTCCCATATATATGGTTTTACATTTAAAACTTCTGAGTTTTCCTTCGTAATCTGGTCCTATTTTATTTTTTTTTGCTCTTTTCCCCTCTTTCAGTCTAAGAAGGTTTTATCTATTTTATTGGTGTTTTCAAAGAATCATTTTTCTATTTATGCTCCTTTTTTTTAGTATCCTACGTCATAACTTGAGGTTTTATCTGTATTAGTCCATTTCCTGTATTATACTGGTTTAAATGTTTTTCTCCCTAAATTTCTAAGACAATCACTACACAGCTTTGAGTTTTTCTTTTTGAACAGTAAAGGTGTTAGTGTTACATTTCCACCTCCTGGTCCAGCCTTATGCTTTTCAGGATACTCAGTAAGGTACCCGGGTCTTACTTTGCCCCATCCACTCAGGGGTCCATCCTGGCAGGTCCTAATGCCTGGCCACAAGCACATGACAACTAAATGTGTGCTCAGTGAATAAGTAACACTGATTTGTCCTGGGACCTACTGTGAAGACCTGTGCTTGCCGCAAGGGCCAGTCATTCATCAAAATACCTGGAGCAGCCATCATGTGCTGGCACTGTGCCAGCTTCTACAACTGGGTCAGTGAGACAAACAACTGGGTGTCTGCCCTTTTGGAACTCATGTTCTAGTGACAAAAACAGATGTAAAACAAGTAAGGTAACTGAGCTGAGTACTGCCTGTCTGCTAAGAAAGTATAAGATAGGGCTCCAACACCACTGAGGTCTAAAAGAGAACCCTTAGAAAAGTGATACTTAAGTTCCTCAGAATCTGAGGGTCTACTCTGTCCCCTATTCTCCTTTCATTAAGGGGGCCATTGGGTTTTCTTGTATAAAAGTCATCTGGTTTTGAGTGATATGTCTGCTGCTCCTGGCCACTGTTGATTGAACCAAGGGACTGACATAGCCAGGCAATAGAAATTTATTCAATAGTAATGTTCCCCCAGTCCCCAACCTTTTTGGTACTGGGGACTGGTTTCATGGAAGATAATTTTTCCACAGACTGGGGGTCGGGGGACAGTTTCAGGATGATTCAAATACACTGCATTCAAGCTCACCTCCTGCTGTGCGGCCCAGTTCCTAACAGGCCCGGACTGGTACCAGTCTGTGACCTGGAGGTTGGGAACCCCTGCCATTGAGGATGGCCACTCACTGACTTAATTAGAGCCACTAAGGGAAACTTGAACGCCAAACAGAATGAAAGGAGAAGAAAAGCAGAACAACAATAGTAAAGTCATAATATTGGCAGTCACATGACTCTGGGATATTGATTTGGAACTGTAGGTATCAATATGAATGTATGGCTTTTAATAATATACAGAGAGAGACACACAACAATAAATTCAGACATGTGACGCATGTGTTAACATACATATACATATTTTCTTGTTTTGTGACCTGAAAGGGCTGAGACGCAATGACACTCCAGTAGCAATGAATACACCTGGTGCCCAGATCTTGGTTTCTAAGTGTCACTTTCAAGTAACAGAAACCAGGTGCTGCGTGGTGAAATGGCTAATGTCAGGGCTGGGGCAAGAAAAATATGAGTGAGTTTGGAACACCCTGTGGTGCCAGAAAGTAAGGAAGTGCTAAAAAAATAACAGGGGCAATGCTGAAACAACACAGGAGCTGACTGGAAAGGGTTCCCAATGGCCAAATCTAGGCCTGAGAGAGAGAAAAAAAAAACTGTGTTAGTATTAGATTATAACCCATAGAAGAAAACAAATATCCATTAGTTTATGCTCAGATAAATAAATTATTGAATAAATATATGGGGGAAAAGAGACAGCCCTTCCTTACAGTAGAATACCAATTAATAAATATAGGTGGAATAAGGGAACAGAAAGTCATCATTAGGCAAATAAACATTAATGCTTGCTGTAAGCAAGAACACTTAATGGATGCTAAAATCAGTGGGCAAAATTCTAAGGGGAAATAAGACATCTGCACAGCTTCAAAGACTCTACTCACAAGATTCTTACTAATTTCATAGTGGAGAAACCCGGCACATACCACCCCAGCTGTGTGACCAAAGTTCCGTTGACCCCCTGCCAGGAGGCCTTGAGAAGGGCACAGCATTGCTTCTGGGGTCGTCTTGCCAAAAATGCAGACTCTCAACCTAATCATGTGAAAACAAGAGGCTAACCCAAACTGAGGGACATCCCTCAAAATGACTGGCCTGGACATTTCAAAAGTGTCAAAGCCATGAAAGGCAAAGAAGGACAGAGGGACTGTCAGGCTGAAGGAGATGAAGGAAACACACGACAAAATGCAAGGCGGGATCACGAACCTGACTTGGGCCCTGAACTGGAAACGGAACATCAGTGGCAGAACGGCGGCCAAATCTGAATGTCCACAGGTTAGTTAGAAGAACTGTACCAATGTTAATTTCCTGATTTTAATAATTATACCATGGTTTTATAAGCTGTTACTATTAGAAGAAGCTAGGTGAGGGTATAAGGGAACTCTACTAGTTTTGCAACTTTCTGTAAGTCTAAAATTATTTTAAGACAAAAACGAAAGAAAAAAAAAAAAGAACAGCAGTCATTGAGGTAGGGAACACCAGACACAGCTCCTTTGGGGCTAGATGGTGACTGCCAGAGCCCAAGTCCTGCCTTATGACCGCCTTATACCCGCCATGTTGTTCTGACATTCTTCCATTCCCCATGGGACTTTGATTCCTGCCCCCATTTTTTGCTTCTTGAACGAGATGAGCTAACACCAAAGGAGGATTCCAAAAAGGCCCCACAGGGTGAGGGTGATGGGGTGATCATGAATGGGGGCTACTGCAGATGATGCCCAAGGACACACCAGGCCTTTCTGTGCCCAGCTGAGCTGAGGCTGAAACATGGGATGGTGTGAGGACCTTCTGCTTAGCAACTGCCACGGACAGTGCACAGGGGGCTGTTCATTCCAGGTGAACTTAGATGGGACAGCGGCTGGGGCAGACGCCATGATCTCTGTCTTTTCCCTAGAGCTTCCCAGGTCTATGTTATTAGTCTCCTGAAGGAGGCCCCAGAGAGCTGAGCTTACTTGGTCATTTGGTGCTATTGTCCAGTCCCAGAGTGGGCCAGGGTGGTGACCCAGCCAGCCTTCCTCCTAGAGGTGCTCTACACTGGCCTAGTCCCAAGGCTGGAGAAGCCTGGTCTGGCCTGACCCCAGAATGTGGGGTGAGGAGGAGTATGATGTGGCAGTGGAAGGGGGAAGGGTTCTCTGGGTCCCTTCCCCTTGGAATTTTAGGGCATGGGAAAGAAGTAGCTCCAGCCTAAACTGCAGAGCCTCTGTACTCTGCCTTCACTCTCTGAGGGCTAGCAGAGAGTGGCAGGTCAGTCTGGCCCGTCTTCTTCCAGCCAGATCTGCTCTTAGCTGCCATACTTCTGTGCTTCCAGGGAACACGATGAAGTTCCAGAGACTATGGGGCACGGGGATCATGTTGAGGGGGTTGGGAGAAGAGGTGGGTGGGAGAAGAGGGGGCCCTCCTTCTGCTCTCTGCCTTGAAGGGGGTACAGGCACAGCTTCCCTCCTGGACACTTGTTAGCAAGTTTTGGCCCCAAAACAAAGGGTGCAGGAAAGTGCAAAATTCCTGCTTTGGACTGGGGCTGAGGAGGGATCTTGCAGAGACTGTGGGAAGGTAAGAGGCCTTAGGCTGGGCGGAGAGGAGTGAGAGGTATGAGGTAAAGGTAGGTCAGTTGCCATGCCACAGCCGTGGGGCCTTTATTGGATGTTGAGGGCACTGGGCAGGTAGGTAGACGCTAGAGGAAATGGCACACCTTCTCAGGGTGTAGCGGTGCCCGGATGTCCAGTTTGTGGGTCTTGCTGTCCTCATCGATAATCTCCAGCCGCAGCTTGGGTGACCGCTTCTCAGTCTGGGATGAGGGCAGGTCAGGGCTCTTGAGCAGTTGCTTGTCTGAGTCCTCCACAGTGATACGCAGAGTACAGCCCCCTGGCAGCAGGTCTTGTTCGTAGGCGGCTGCCAGCTGGTTCACTACACGCCGCTCTACCTGCAGGTGACAGGTGAAGTAGTGTCACTGCTGAGGCCAGGGCCAGCCTGTGACCTGAGCCTGAAGGCCAGGCTCTATGACTCACTGCTAAGACAAGTACTTACTAAGAGCTTTAGTTTTCTCACTTGCAAAGGGCTAACAACACACAACTTGCAGGACTGTGCTAAAAACTCAATGATGTCAGCCCTGACTGGTGTGGCTCAGTGGATTGAGCACCAGACTGCAAACCAAAGGGTCACAGGTTCAATTCCCAGTCAGGGCACATGCCTGGGTTGCAGGCCAGGTCCCTGGAATGGGGTGTATGAAAGACAACTACGCATTGAGATTTCTCTCCCTCTCTTTCTCCTTCCTTTCCCCTCTCTAAAAATAAATAAAATATTAAAATAACAACAACAAAATACCCCCCAAATAGCAGTTTCTGAGGTTCCCAACTCAGTTCCCCATCCTGGTAGGGATTCATACTTGGTTACCCTCCAGAACAGGGGTTTAACTCGATCATCCTGTGCTTTTGCTTCTATAGGGGCATCTGCACTGGGCATGAACAACTCCAGGCGGGGAGCCCAGGGCCTATGTCTGGGGCCACAAGGAGGGAGGCATGGAGGTGCTCACTCCTCAAGGCTCCTGTGCTCACCTCATGCTTGATGGAGCGGGCACCATAGTGCACATTGTAGCCGTCGACCAGCACGTCTGCCACCTCGCGGTCCCAGAGCAGTGTGATGTTGTGCCGTTGCTTGGCCTAAGAAAGGTCAGAGAGGAGTGTGTGGCCCAGTGCTTTCCAGCTCTCATCACTCATGCCTGAGGCCTGGGCCTGTGAGGGACTGTGTGCTCAGGGCACTGGCCCCGTACACTGTGCTCCATCTTTTGGGAGATGGTGCTCCCAGAGCAGATATCCCATCCCCACCCATGGGCAGTCCCCACTCTTACTCTCTTGGCCCAGAAGTTCAGTTCCTTGTTGACCAGCTGGATGAGCTCCGAGTGGCAGAAGGGGAGAAAGTAGACGATCTCATTGATTCGTCCCAAAAATTCATCCCTCCGGAAGTGAGCCTGCAGGGCCAGGTAAAGGGTAGGGTGAGCTCAGTGACCCAGATGGGAGTAAAGGCAATTATTGGACCCCAGTGGGGAAGGCATGGGGGCTTCCATAGCTTTAAGGGGATCCCCCCAGCAGGAAGGACAAAAATCTTACTTTTAGGATAGGGCGAATCACTTTCTCCTTGAAATTCTTTGATATGGTGATCTTGTCATTGATCTGGACATCCTCTGTAGAAAAAGAATCATAAACTGCCTATTTCTCATACCCAGGGGGCTTTGGGAGAGACGCCTGCCCCTTGACCCCATCCCTAAAAAGAGCCCTGGTCCTGTCCTTGATGATCTGTGTACTCCTGGTCAACACGTCAGGCCATCTGGGCCTTAACCTGGTCTTTTTACCTGAACAATGACAGGGCAGGACTGGGTACTTTCTGAGGTTCTTCCAACTGTCGTGTGCTACAAAGCCTGGGCTTCCTTAGGGTGCAAGTTGTGTGAGGGAGAGGAGGACAGTGAGGACTAAGACTTGAGTTCTGAGTTGGAAGAAGGGGGCTGGAGGGTTCATTCAATTCCAAATGGAAGGGTGACAGGCGTGGCCTTCCGTCTGATGCCCTCTTCCTCTCCAGCACTCTCCTGTCCACCTGCATGGGAAGGCTCCCGCTCCGTAGAGTTCCTGGGCTGCTGTCCCAGTGTCATGCCGAAGCATCTCCATCTGTGAAGTGTGGATCTCTTCAACCCCTTAAGACCCCGGCCTCTTCCTGGCCCCTCACCCTGAGGTGGCTCTGTCCATTCCTCTGTCTGGAACTCTCCTGTCACCTGAGACTTGGGGTTTTATTGAGGAAATGAGGGTACTGTCTCTGTCTGGTACAATGCTTAGTATCTGGTCATTGCCAGCTATGGACAAAACTTCTTACTAAGACCCTCATCAAGGCCCAGGACACCAATGCCATCCTTGCCCTCAAGAGATGTGCTGGTCGCCCGGGCACTTGCCCAGTTGCCTAGACAGCTCTGTCATGTGCCGTACCAAGGTTCTCGGCAATACGGTTATGGCTCATCTCCAAAGCTTCCTGCCTCAGCTGCAGTGCGTGCTGTGCAATCTCGTCGCTGGCCACGTTGGAGGTCATAATGAAGATGGCATCCTTGCAGTCAATAGTTTTCCCTTTTCCATCTGTCAGCCGGCCCTGGGAAAGAAGAGTGACTACACAGTCAGGGAGTAGTAAGACTGAGCGCCTCTTCCAGGAGGTCTCCCCCATGCCTGACAGAGTCAGCTACTTGCTTGCTCCCTGGGTTCCCTGAGCACTGTTCCCACACCTTGGTTGCTGTGCTCACTGCTCTGGGCAGCCACTGTTCCACAGAGTGAGCACCTCCAGGTGAGACTGCATCTGCCGAGTCATGAATCATAGCACCAATCATCCCTGGCACCCAGAAGTGAGCCTGATTTCACACACATCCATCCAACACACTTTCCTGGAAGTCCACTCTAGTCCAAGCTCTGTATTGGGGTACTGGAGATGCACAGAGCCTTTAACATGCTCCCAGTCTAGAGGAGTGACCCTCAGGAAACCAGCAACAATAAGACAGTGCATTGAGCATTATGACAGGGGATGCCCAGGTTGCTGTAGGAGTTCAGAGGAGAGTCTTTCACCAGGCCAGTGTGAGGACTAGATATGGTCATACCAGAGAAAGCTCCTTAGGTAACCAAGCTGTGCAAATGATGAGCACTTCCATCACAGGGACCTGCTTAATGTTCTCTGCACTCTACCCATAGAAGCCCCAGGAAGTCAGAGGCTGGATCTTGTTCCCCCCGAGTCCTAGAACAGTGTCTAGCACACAGTAAGTGCTCAGTAGCTGCCTGCTGAATGCCTAAATCCTTACAACTCCTACAGAGAAACCAAGGCTCAGAGGTTAACTAAGCTATTCAAGGTCTCATGGCTAGTAAATTCTAGAGCTGAGGCTCACACCGTCTGATCACAGAGCCCATGCCCTTCCCTCTGCACCAGATCATACCAACAGTGCTGTATAAATGCTCCATGAAACTTTGCTTCCCTGAAAAAAAATTCTCAGAACCCTGCCAAATTTAGTTTGCATCCTTTGATCCTTGCTGGAGAGAAGCAACTGGGACAAGTGCAGGGAGAGGGAGGCCTGCCTGGGACGTCCTCTGGGTTTCAGACAAAGCATGGCTTCTGCCTGGCCAGGTAACATGACTCTGGGGGGCAGGTCACTGACCTCAGCTGTTGGCTTCTGTCTGCCCCAGCCTCGGCTGGTAACCAGTCCTCAAGTGTTTCCCCTTCCCTGTTGGCCCGAGTCGCAGTTAGCTCTTACTTCCAAAACCAATGCAAAGGCCAGCCTTGGCCCTCACAGGCAGCATGGGAAGGAATGTGCATTATTTGAGCTCCTACTGCATCCTGGGTATGGTACTGGGTGCTTTTCAGCCTCACTTTACACTGGCCCTTGGCACAGGCCTCTTAGGAAGTGTTATTTCCAAGGGGATCTAACCAAAAGGGCCTCCTGATCCAGGTCCCTGGTTACTCTCCCGTCCCTGCCTTGGGGTGGGGCAAGGGGAAGAGCACAAATGAATGTTCTTGAGCTTTTGCCATTAGCTTTCTCACTTACGGGTTACAACACAACTTAATCTACTCCTTAGTATAGACCAGGTCTGCATGAGTGTGTGATGTACCCAAGTGCATGCATATGACACTGTGTTTGCAGAGTTCATTCAGGAGGATGGAGTGCACACGCTGCTATACTGGCCAGAGCAATAACCAGTGGCAATTTCATTCTGAGAGATCAAAGCTCTGTTCATAACTGGGCCTGAGGATGGGTCCCAGGTGGGTGAGGGGAGCAGGTGCATGCATGACTGACCCAAGGGTGACTTCATGTCTTGTTGTCCTCTGAGTCCCTGGCAATAAAGATATGTCCCAAAGAGGGAGCTGTCACTGTCCTACCTTGCAGCAATAACTGGAGTGCATATGTTCTGGGTGGGGCATGAATGCTCACCCCAGGCTCTAGGGGCTGTTTTCCCATTGCTTCTGTCCTTGAAGGAGGAAGAAGGTGGGCTCCTTGGGGCCCAGTCTCTTCCTGGGACTTTGGTTCTGTGCCATAGGCTCTGGGCTCATCTGGGATGTGACTGGCATTAGTCCTGTTTGGTGCTTTGGTGAGAGCAGTAAAACTGCTTTTCTGGGCCCAGGCTTGGGAGAGCTGACTGGGTGGGAATGCGGGGCTTCCCTCAAGCTCCCAGGATGGATTAGGAGACTTTAGAACTCCCAGCGCTTACTTCTCCTAATGCAGCACTCACCACAGTGGGCTGAGCTGCTTTCTGTTGTGTCTCCCCTCTGCTCGCACTGAATCAGTCTCTTGCTCTGCCTACTCGCTCTCTGACTCTTTCCTGATGGGCGGCAGGCTGTTGTAGACCTCGCCTCTTCTCTGCACAGTGTACTCTCCCTTGTTGAGATTCCATCCCTTCCTGTGGCTTCCATGACCCTCTCCGTGCTGGAGCATTCCCGACTCTAATTCCAGTCCACACCTCTCCTGTGATCCAGACTTCTCCAGCTGATGAAGGACCGCTCAGACATCTCCATCTGGCTGTCCCTCAGGCATTACCTTTCAACAATTCCGAACCTCAGCTCCTCAAGCTCCTCACCTTCATCATCAATTTGTTGCTCATCCTCCTGCATTCTGGGCCTCACTGATGGTAGCAGCAGCAGTCCTGTCACCCAGGCCAGAGATTCTGCCCCTCGTCATCCCTGGCCCTCCCTCTCTCTTCCCATCCAATCACTGAGCCCTGCACAGTTAACCTCCTGGTAATTCTCCCCACCCCACTGCCCTGCTTTAGACAGGCCTCCCATCTCCAGGCTGAACTCTTCAATAGTCTCCTTGATGTCCCCTTCTTCCTTCCATCCTCTCACAGTTGCAGACAAGGATTTTATATAAAGTGCAAACTTGACCATGTTTCTCTCTTGCTTGAAGTCTTTAGAGGTTCCTTATGATCCACCAAATAAATCTATACTCCTTTGCCTGGCATTTTAACTGGCCCCAGTCTATCTTACCCACCTCATCCCCACCATTCTGGTCTCACTTTCCTCTGCAGGTGAGCAGTACTGAACAGCTACTGTTCCAAGGCACAGCTACCTCATGCGCCCCGTGCTTCTGCATACTCAGTGTCTACTGCTGGTCCTTCTCTACTTGGTTCATCTGGCAAACACTCACCCTTAGGTTTGCTAAATTACCACTGAATTACGCTGGTCAATAGAGCATATCCCCTGATGTTGTGGGCTCTGGCAATGGTTGCAATAGGACGAGGTCCCTGTCCTCAGGGGGACATATGCATAAATCTGGCTAAGTAAGCTTGGATGGCAGTCTTGGTCAATGGAGCCAAGGGCATAGACATCAGAAACAGCAGTAGGCTGTGGGGCCTGCAGAAAGAAGTTGCTATCAACTACCAAAAGGCAGCTGTGAAGTGGCAACAGCAGGGGAGGGGTGCATAGGGCTTCCACGCAGGGCCACCTGTCTTTCAGTCAGCAGGTGCTTTCCGTCCTTCTGGGCCAGGGGGGCCATCAGGGGTACCTCTCCAGGTACCCCTGGATGTCGGAGGCCAAACAGGCTACTGGACTTTCCCTTCCAGTGAATTCTTCACTGCAGACCCACCTCTTTCTTTGGGCCCTAGCTGCATGTTATTATTTATTATTGAAGTGGTAGGCTCTAGAACTGGGCTGCCTGGGTTCATACCCGGATTCCCCCTTTCCAGCTGCGTGACCACAGGTGAACTACTTATCGTGCTTTATTTGAGTTTCCCCATTTGTTACAAGGAGGCAGTAATAATACTATCTTCCTAGGGCTGTTGGGAGGACTAAAGGAACTGATACGTGTACATTTTCAGAACAGTGCCTGGCATATGAAGTACAAACTTGTCAACTATTATCATGTCTCCTTTCCAGCTGTCATTAGGCAGGGAGCCCCTGAAGGGCAGGCAGGTTTGGGTCTGGTGCAGAGCTGAACATCTGAGTCCCATCAAGAGCCTGGAACAAAGCAGGAGGCCTCAGAGAACAGGTGTAACTAAACAGGCGACATTTGAAGCACTGGTCTTCACGCCACTGCAGAGTGTCTGGGCACAGGGAGTAGCTGAGGGGCTAGGAAGACAGCAACAAAACTCAGGCAGGGGCAAGAATCCCGGTTCAGGTGGGGAAGGTGGTGGGAAGCTGTGGGGACATGTGAATGCGCGTCTTCTTGGTTTGGTGCCTGGTCTGCTATCTGGTCCAGGGGGAGTTTCTTCATGCACCTCATCTAGTGCACCTGTGACATGGGAAGTGAAACTCATTCCTGTTTCCCAAGAGCTGGCAGAACTAAGTGGAAAAGGTGGGCCAGACTCTACCTGACAACATGCTGGCTAATATAGGTCCTGCACGGGAGCAGAAGAGAAGCCTCATCCTGGTTCTGCAGCCACTGGGATGGGTGGGGGTCAACCCCTCCATGATCATACAAAGGGGAGAACTGGGGCTCTGGGGTCAGATGTATTTGCAGCCTGATCCTGGCCACTCCATATAGTAGCTCTGTGGCCTTGGAGAAGTCATTTATAACCTCTGAACCTTGATTTCTTCATCTGTAAAAAATGAGATTGCTCCTCCCTTGCCCAGCTATTGTAATGCTTAGTGATAGTGTCTGTAAAGTCCTTAGCACAGTCTAGTACATAGAATGCACTGAATAAAAGGGGTTCTCTTCCTCATTTAGAACTTACTTCGCCTGTGTGTATGTGTGTGGGGGAGTGAGGGGTGGGGGAAGGGGCTGTCTCATTTGTGATGAGCCTGGAGCCCCTCAGAAGAGCTCCATGAGCCAGAAAGGTTCTTGTAGCTTATCTTGGATCCAGCCTTCTTGTTTGCCGCATGAGGTACCTCATTCCTAAAGATGAAGCAGAACTAGAACTACAAGTTCAGGCCTCTCTCTCCTGGCACCTGTGTCCTACTCAGTCTTTCCAGAAGGTAGCTTGGGCAGTGAGAAAATTTCAACTCTTAGGCAGTGCTGGTCTTCCCTTAGTGCCCAGTCTGGGCCTGGTCCAGAGAGGTGTGAAACCACATCTGCTAAGTGCCCGAACACACACATGGGGGAGCAGCAAGTTGAGAAATGACCTGACAGGCCTCTGGGTCCTTGGTTCCCACTGTCCACAGACCTCCACACCCCTAGGTGTCCTGGCCTCCATTCCAGCCCAAGCTGACTCTCACCTCATCAAACAGCTGTAGCATGATGGTAAGCACATCTGGATGGGCCTTGTCCACCTCATCAAAGAGCACCACAGCATTGGGACACTGTTTCAGCTTCTTGGTCAGCTGACCACCCTCCTCGTGGCCGACGTAGCCTGGTGGGGACCCAATGAACTTGGCCACCTGGGGGAAGGAAGGAAACATGTTATAATGGCCTTTCCAATCTTTTAGTTTCCAATTTGGGGCACGCATGGGAAGATGGCTTTATATACACTGTTAAAACTGCCTGTCTCAACAAGGAGTGTCTGGCTGTCTCCTGGAGTGGCAGGAACCCGGCCATGATGGGACAGCAGATAGATCTTTTCTATATTTATTCTTCAGAGCAACTCCTGTGCAAGCAGATCAGTGACCCTGCTGCGCACACATGCCCCTGAAGGCCAAATCCCAAGGCTGCTGGAATTATGTCAGGCCTGAATGACAAGCCACATCAAAATGCCCAGGTAGTCATGTTGACAGGCCCCCCAAACCACACTTCACCAAGGATGTTTACTCACCTCATGCCGCTCCTGGAACTCAGACATGTCCAGCCTGATGAAACCCTGTGTGGAAAGAAGCAGGAGTCCAATCGGTGGGAAGGCAGAGGAAGGGTTAAGGAGGACAGCATCTCAGATACCCTTTAAGCTTTCGGACCACACCAACTCAAGATCTTCTACCCTATTCTTACGATACATTATTTCTGGCTCCTTGTCTCCTTTTCTGCTCACTCATTGTCTACCTGACTCCATTCCCTACCTTCATGAACCCAAGTTAGGTACCTGCCCTTCTAAATCTGGCCCAGAATGTCTCTTTTCTCAGGCAGGCTTCTTTTGGTCTGATTACCACATCATCGGCCCAAACGCCCATCCTCCCATCCATTGCACATTTCCTGAGGGCATCCCGTGTGTGCTCCGTGCTGGAGCCACATCAGCAAACAAGTCTTGGTCTCTGTCCTTGAGGGGCACCCACCGAGTGGGGTAGGCAGACCTGGACAAGTCAGTCACAGTCAGTGTGGATCGTGATGATGTGCAGGGAGCAAACAAATACCCAAACAGCTCCATGGTGCCCTCACCTTTGCAAGTTTGTGTGGGCACAGGCCCCTTTCAGTTTACTTTCCTTTTGAACAGCTAAACATTTTTATTTCATCTAAAAGTCATTCATAACATAGTTTGCAGCCTTTCTCTTACCACTGCTGGGCCTAGGAGTGATTTCCAAGGAAATGGTCCCCAGGGGTGAGGCCTGACCACGACCAGCCCCAGGTAGAGAGAACACTGGGTAGTGTGGCATTTGTCAGTCAACACAGGCAAAGGGCTCGCTTCTTTCTGTGAAGACTTTAGGGCACTCACAGGCGCCCTGTCCTTCCACCCGGGTCAGGGATCCCTGCACCCTCCTCAGGCTGCTCTCCCACTGGCACACGCTTCCGAGACAGCACACTCACTGACTGCGTGTCTCGGTGGAGCTGGGGATAACGTGGTGCCAAGATCCTGAGAGGAAGGGATATCTGAAATGGAGGCCTAGTCTAGCTCAGCCTCTGGTCTGAAATTCACTCGGTGATGTACTTCTAGTTTTTTCTCTCTGTTCTGTCACTCTGCACCTGAGGTACAGAGTGGCAGAACCCAGGCTGGCAGACAGGGGCCTCAGCTCCTAGTCTCAGTTCTGTCACTCTCTGTGTGGCCTTGGGTGTGCTGCTCCCCCTTTTTGAGCTGTAGTTTTCCCTGTGTAACACAGGCCCTTATTTCCCTTCCTACTTTCACCAGAGATCTGAGGAGAGGACCTAACCGGGAAGTGGGAAAGGGCTTGGGAGAGTTGCTGAGGTCATGTGGGGGAGAGCCCTGCCATCTGAGCACATGTGGCATTAGCAAGTAAGCATTTTCAGAGGAACCCAGGCAGCTTAGCCAAGAGAAACACAGGCTTCAGAAGGTTGGGAGGATGGACATGGGGAAGCTGGGAGTGCTACCCAGAGGGAGCAGTGGGCTGGAAGCCATGAGGTGGGTATCTGGTAAGAGCTGACAGTCCCTGGCCGCTTACCATGTGCCTGGCAATGTCTAAGCAAGCTACAAAGGGCTCAGAACATGTACAAGTCTATGAGGTCAGCACTAATATCATCCCTATTCTACAGATGAGAAAACTGAGTCATAGATTAAAGGAACTTGCCCAAGGCCACTCAAGCTTGACAATCTGGCTCCAAGTTTATGCTCTGAGCCATTTACTCTACTGCCTCACATCCGCTGCTCTATCCATCAGGTGGGCTCTTGGCAGTCTTCCTCGGAAGGGTTCTGAGTGTGGTGCCCAGATGTCACAGTCCCAGGACACAGGCAGTATAGACTACGGCTTGCTTATGTCAAGTGACCTGGGTTCTTGCCCTAGCTGCTTTGCTAAATTGTTAAGTTTAAACACGTTTCAGGGTTTGATTTTCTTGACTGGGATAATTTTCCTAAGTTTCATATGATCTTAGCTTAGGGTTATCTAGAGGTGAGGCAATGATAATGACAGTAATTTTCAATAGGTACTGATTGCTTACAAAGTACCAGGAATGCTGTTTAGCATTTTATATCTTGTTAACCTTCATAATCAATGAGATAGGCACCATTACTGATAGACCCATTTTACAGATGAGAAAACTGATGTGAACAGAGATCCCAGCCAACCCCACGGAGTAGTGCAGCGTGGGGATCCCTGCCCTGACCCCCCTCTGTCGTACTGCTCTGTAACTCCAAGCCTTTATGGTTCCACCACCCTATTTCAGGATGAGATACAGAATAGCATTAAGGTTCTTTCTCAAGGATTATTAACTCTAATAATAGGTGTTGATAAAGCTACTCAATTTGGGAGAAATGTAAGGGAAGGGCTAATCAGAGAAAAAAATAAGCTCATAGATCTGATAAGAAAATTATAGAAACGTGCAAATAATGTCTTGTGAAGCAGCCAGGTCTGGAGGTCCCACTGACTCTTTACAAATGAGGCAACTAAAGATTGGAGGGTCAGACTCAAATTCAAGTCACCGACTCCCAAGCTGGTGCTCCTTTCAGCACACAGGCCACTTTAACACTGCGCCCTGTACATGACACTTCTCACACAGCACTCCTTGGGTCCTGGCGCTGTCAGGCACCCGGTTAGATAGCCTACATACAGGACTCTTGGATTTGGAAGGCCTCAAACATGCCTGTTACATGGCCAACAGATGTCTATGCTAAAACAGGTTCAGTAAATCAGGAGTTCTGTGGAATCACTACCTAGGACTTTAAAATACATGAATGGTTATATAGGGCTTCTCATGCTTCTCATCTCCCGATGTGACAGGGGGACAAACTGACAAGTTTACAATCTAGTCTATTGCATCTGAGAACAATAATATTTGAGAGAAGAGTTGAGCGACTAGATTCTGATTTTACTTTTCCCTTTAACAACTGACCTTGGACATATCCCTTAATGCTGTAGGTCTGTTTTCTCATCTGAAAAGTAGATCTACTTTAGCATCTACGCTCTTTTCCTCAAAGATGAAATAAGACAGTCGATGGGGTACTGCTGTGGAAAGTATGAGGTGATGCGCCAATATGACACAAGGGGATAGGCGCTGACTACGTGCTAGAGCCTGAGCTCATCTGACGCTCGTAACCACCACAGGCACGGCGACGGACAGCCTAGCTCGGAGAAGAGAGCTGAAATGGAGAGGGGTGAGGAACAGGCTCAGGGCCAGTGAAGGTAGAGTTGGAACCTGTGTCAAGGGATGACTGACTTCAGAGCCTGCACCTACTAGCCCACCGCCTCTGAGCAGCGACAGCATTACTCCCTTCTGCTCGGTGGGCCAGGTGGTAGAAGATGCCATCAGCACGCCTGCACCAGTGTGCGTGTGCCTCCAACGGGACTGGTGCTCCTGCTGAAAGGCAGCTCGCACCGCTAGGCTTCTCACAAGCCCCTCTCCTTTCTGCACCAGCAAGTCAGCAGATACTTTCCTCCTGCTTCCACTGTGTACGAGTCGTATGAAGACACATTAGGAGAGCTCGGATAAGGAGATTATAATTTGTAATTAAATATTAACCTTTCTGACAGTATTAAAATTAAAACACTCAGAATTCTTCATCCCTAATCAGGTGGTTCCTGCCCGTAACTGCATCTTCCCTAATAGTCTTGTTAGTTTATGGCCCTTTCCAGAGTGCTAATTGTTTCAATCGCTGTCAACCTGATGAATTGTCTTAAAAATGCTGTTTCAGTTGGGGCATATTAGCATGTCACGTGCTGCTTCTTGCCTGCCTGCCTGCCTGTCAAGTGGGTCCGCTCTGGGTTTGGTTGAGGTAAAGCACAGCTACTGGTAGAGCCAGGGAGGCTTAGAAGGCTTCAGCTACTTATTAGGCAGAGGAGGCTATGGATGCAGCTCAGGAGGACACAGCTTGAGCAACCTTGTTTCTGTGGCTGCCAGGCCCTCAGGAAGGTGCGAAAGGGGTAGCTAGGCTGGAAGCAGGACAGGAGGTGCTCAGGGGTCTGCTGCTGGGAGAGTTTGGCTGGTGAGGCCTGCACAGTTCTTGTCACCTCAGATGGGGAGGTTTTCTACAGAAATGAGGCAAGGGCACCTGGGGTCGTAGGCAACTTCTGGTGGTGGGAGCAGGGGCACCTCGGCCTCCATAGTGGGAAAGCTGGTAGAAAGAAGAGTGTTTGGCCTTCGACAAAATGTTTCTGCAGTCTCCAAGGATTGTTCTCTCTGACATTTCTCTCTGCAGGAAAGCACTGCTTGGCAGCCTAGGAAATCAAACTGAGCAAGCCTTGGAAAACCAGGGTTTGAACAAGTGAGAGATGGGGCCAGTCCTCTCCTATGGAGAATACAGGGCTCTGCGTCTGGGGAAAAAGGGGCTGTGACCACCCCACATCTTAGAAGAAATCCTGTTTTAAAGCTTATGTGGGATGGAAAGAAGCAGTAAGACATCCTCTTATTCCTATTTGTTTTCTCCTACAGGCCCCAAGACTCCCTTTGGCACTGTCTTGAGGCACAGAAATGGCACTTTTCTAAAGCTGTTTCCTTCTCCAGACTGAGTTCCTCAGGGCAGAGAGAATGTCTGAATAAACACTATTTTTTTTTTTTTAGGAACTAGTATAATACCAGGCACAGAGTAGATGCCTGAAAATATTGTACAGATGAATCTTACTGGGTTCTCCCAAGTGCCCCAAGAGTCAGGGCAGGAAGGGTGTAATTTTCCTATTTCAATGATGAAGAAACGAAGGTACACAGAGATTGGATAACTTGCCCAAATTCCTGGAGCAACTGGTGGCTAAGTTGAGGCTAGAGGTGAGGCCTGCTTCATGGTTCCGGGCCTATCTCTTTGAATGGCTATCGCCAGATTCAGGGAGCCTAGGGTTTTTGGGCTAGCAGGAGTGTCAAGGTCTCAGTGGCCTGAAGGTCAGGCCCAACGTCCCAGCTCTTACCTTTTTGGCATCTTTGTGCATATATTTGGCTGTCTGCTTCGCCAGCTCTGTTTTGCCTAGTAAGAAAAAAGGGAGAGGAATTGGGTTAGGACCAGGTAACTACCTCCTGGAATGAAAGAATATTAGAAATGCATGGACAGTGAAAATAAAGTTTTATGGATGGAAATGCTGAGTCTTGGAGTGGGTCAGTGACTCTCCCAAACTCATTAAGGGAATTAAGGATGGAGCGGGGACCAGAATCAAAGTCTGAATTGCATCTCGATTATTTTGTGGACAGAGATTGTGGCTTTTTCTCTATAGCAGCATCCTAAGAGTGGGAGGTTGGCTCAAAATCTAGAGCCAACTTGTCCTCTGAAGCTCAGCACAAACCTTGCCTCTCTAGGAGCACCCTGACCCCGTGGCGCACTGCGCCGCATGCCTCTAGATACCTGTGATCTTGCCATCCAGCCAGGCCTGGAGCCACAGACCAATTACAGGTGGGGAGGGTACCTCTTCGAGGCTTCATGGACTTTCTTTGTAATTTAAAGAGGGAATGTCAGAACTAAAGTGGTGGCTCTGAAGGGTCACTGGTATGAAGCCTTTGGAAGTCACTACATAGTACAGGAAATCAAGTTCTATAGTATCATGGTGAGGTGGTGGTAACTTTTTTGGACCCTATACCTGAGGGAGAGCTAAACCCATAAAAGTGCAGAAAGGGGAAGAGAAGGTAACAGAATGCATGAAACTCCCCATCAAGACAACAGCAGGAGGTGGTGGAGCTGGGGGAGCTTGAGGGGGTGAGAATGTCTCAGTCCAACTGGCTAGAAAAATGCCCAGCCCTTTTTACTATAATTAGTTTTGCTATGCACCCACTGATTTGCCATCAGGTACTTTCTCCGGCTTCCTAGCAGGTTATGTCTTAGGTTGTACTGAGTAAAGCTGCTCCGTCTGGGCAGTGGAACTGATTCAATTGTATGCAAAGGGCAGCCTTGGGGGATGCAGAGTGGCTGGAGCAGGGCTACCAGGTCCCGAAGGCTCATCCTCCAGATGAATTGCACCCCAACTTCCAGAGGGAGGGGCATCCTTCCAGCTATTTCTAATGGGACAGATGATCCTTTTGCTGGTCCATAATTTGGAGGCAGTTGTACTAGGAGCTGGAGTTGAACTAGAGGTGGGGAGCCTGACCATGGCCCATAGCGGCTGGGATGCCCCCAGCTCTTCTTCCCCACTGGCTGATCTGCTCCCCTTACCTATTCCAGATGATCCTAAGAAGAGGAAGACCAGAGGGTGTTCTTCGTCATACCAGCCATTCTCCTTCCTCCGGATTGCTACGGCCAACACACAAGACAGGGGACGGGGAGGGAGGCAGATAAATCAATGACACAAAAGGCAGGATAATTATCACTAAGTATACAATATGTTTTACTGCTCTGCGCCCACTCAAAGTCCTCACTACCATTAGTGCTGCCTAATCTGATTAGCTGGCAAGGCCCCTAGAGATACCTAATCAGGTTAGCATGGATTTGGAAAGCTGCCCAGAGCAGATTTCGGATAAAGTTTTCCAGGATGAGCACTCAGCGTTGCCAGGGAAACTGAAAGGCGGGTGGATGGTGAATGGAGGTGAAGGCAGTGGGGGGTTGGTGAAGGAGAATTCGAGAGGAACTTTAGCTCTCAGCTGGTCACCCATCTACTTACCACTGGCGGGGGACTCAGCCTGCCTCCTATGCCAATGGGAGAGGCAGAAGCCCACAGCAGGCCCCTGGGGATATGGAGTGTAAGCTCTAGACTCTTCACTATGTGGGGAAACCAAGGTCTGGTCTGGAAATATAGTCAAACATGCTTCCTAGAAGCCAGTCAAAGGTAGTGTGGAGCTCAGGGCATGGAAGAGTGAGCCATCTGGTTAGCATCTCCACTAACCATGGCTTCTGGGTGTGGGGGGGGATGGGATAGATCTGGACAGGGTCCCCTAGGGGTGCAGCTCTGCTGGAACGAGAGCTGACCTCTGCTCTTCAGGAGAAAGTATATAATCAAGGGCTGTGCATTCAGGTAAGGAAATTACATGCCCAAGTAGAGTGGGAGAATCAGACTCAGAAGCATCACTCAAGTATAAAAGCAGGAGACAGAATGAGGCACAGCCATGAGAAAATGAACCATTTACTGCATACTATCTACTGGGCAACAGTTGGAAAAATCACCAACATTTTATTACTTAAGACCTACACAAACACCCCAAGAAGAAATTCTTGGCTTCATTATTCTGAACAGGAAACTGAGGCAAGAGATAAAGAGGCCTGCCCAAGTCACAAAGCTAGCTGACTAGCTGACCGGTAGAGGCGGTACAATTGCTTCTCTCCCTAAACTGGTCTTTTGTGTTGCATACGGCTGCTTAAAAAAGCGAGTATCGCTTTGGGTTGTGCTAACGGTTACAGAAGTGGGAGGGGGACAGAGCGCTGTGCAATGTCAAGGTTAGTTTGCAGATGAAACAGCATGTATGGTCTGGTCCCCAGAGAGTCAGGGGAAGATTAGTAAAGGGATATACATCAGAGGACAAGGCCTGGAAATCAAGTCAACTGAGAGAGTTGATGGTCTTAGGGATGTGTCTGCAGTCTTGAGGTATAAAGTTCCTAAATACTATGCTGTGTGGTACGACCCATGTGGTTGGGTGGCTGGGTAGCTCAGTTGGTTGGAGCGTTGTTCCAATGTGCCAGGGTTGTGGGTTTGATCCCTGGTCAAAGCATATACAAGAATCAACCAATGAATGCATAAATAAGTGAAATAACAAGTCAGTGTTTTTCTCTCTCTCAAAAATCAATAAATAAAATAAAAATTAAATAAATAAAAATAATTTCTTTAAAAAGAAGACGCTGTAGAAGCCAAGGATGCTTTGTTGGGAGAAACAGGATTGATGCATCATGGAGGCTGGGTAGGATCTGGAGAGGCAAAGGTGGCCAGAGGACAGATTTGGAGGGACAAGAATGACCAGAACAGTGGTGGGTGGGATCAGACTACAAAAGTCTCTAACACTAGGAGTTTAGGTCCATGCTGTGATCTCACCTTAATCTCTAATGCTGCTAACTTAAGTACTTCCTAGTTCTGGCCTCAGCAGAAACAGATGGAAACTGTGCAATCTCACGGACATCAGAGTAGCCAATCTGCCTGCCTGGAAGATGCTCCCTGAGAATCCCAGCAGGGGCCTCAGAACATGCAGTCCACCCTTTCCTCTGGGCTGGGTCCAAGGCATCTCTGCACCAACTGGCCTGGTCCTCTGGAAGGCCTGGCTCCACGGGGAACTCAGAGGCCTCATAAGTACCTGAAGGCTGTTGATGAAGGGGAGAAGTCCAAGCCTGCTGAGAGGGAGCCTGCAGCGTTCAGAGACAAATAAGAACCCAGGGGTGGGGGTATTTGGGGAGGTGGAGATATTATAAAGGCAGAGGCTACCAGGGGGCCATATCAGCCTCACGGTTGCCTTCAAAGGGCCGAATGTAGAGCTCCTTGCCTGTAGTTAAGGAGTAGTTACATTTATACAGTCCTACAATGACATTTGGCCCTTTGAAGGCAACCGTGAGGCTGCTGTGAAAATGAGCTTGACACCCCTGGTAGACTTTTGTGAACACTATGTATGGATGTCTGTTGGGCGGTGGTGAGAAGGGTCATCAGAAAGAGTCCAATTCTTACAGAAGTTGGCCAAATTGAGAATCTAGGTTGAAAGAAGCTGAGCATAAACTGGATTCAGGCTTTATGGGGTCTCCAGAAAGTGAGAAATGCCCAGGTATCATTTAGATAAGGGGCCTGAGTTCGGGGGTGGAGGACAGGGCTCCCCAGGTGTCATGCACCTGAGGTGCCGATCTGGACTTCTCTTACAAGGAAGCTACCCAGCCCCCTAGAGCTGCACACTGCCGGGTGATGCAGTTCAAACACACCATGGAGAGAGTGGAATTGGATTATGCCTGGGGCCATCTTTTTCTCCTTATTTTCTAATAATGCACCTGGGAGAAAGCTCTTTATAATGCTAGGCAGACTCCACTGCACAGCTGTCCCTGGTCAATTCTGCCAGACCTAGGGCATGAGTCTGGGGTGGGTTTGATCTCGGCCCCCTGTGAAATAGGCGAAATGCCAACCATTAAACAATTACAACTCTGGATATTTCTAATAATATCTGAAGAGAAAAACAGCCAAGCAGATGGTGTCCGACAGAATGAAAAATGGAAGCAGCTAGGAAGGACTGGGGACGGTAGGCGCCAGGGGGTGCGGTTGGCAGGGTGGCGGAGGACCAAGGCTGGGAACCTGGAGGGTCCTGTCAGGCCAGGGCAGGGTGTTGGACAGACAGAGACCTAAATAGCCCCACACAGGATGTGGCCACAGGTACCAGTGCTCTCGCTGTGAACCAGCAAAGGCAGCATCTTAGTCTGCTAACACTTCACGAGTCTGCTAACACTTTAAAGAACTTCCTAAGAACTTCCAGAGGCAGGATGTACAAAGAAGTTAGGTAACGTGCTCAAGGTTACACAGGTAAAGAAATAAAGGCCCTGGGCTTTACTCCTCAGCTATGGCTGGCTTTTGAGGAGTTAAAGGAAAGGGGTCTGCCTGTCCCAGCCCCAGCCTCTCCTCATACCCTGGCTTCACCTTGAAAACTGTCTGGCTCAAGCAGCCGTTCAACACAGGGTCTCAAGAGCCCGTTCCCTGAACTGTGCTCTTGGGCTTGAGATGATGCCAGTGTCTCCTTTACTGGCTGGTCTCATCCCTGCAAGCTCCCAGCAGGCCTGGTCGTCTCTCCATGTGTGGGGCCGGATCCACTGCCTCCTTGCTGGGTCCCCCCTTTACTAGAGCACCTGGCCATGTCTATCACTAATGGACTATCCCAAAACTTGCCTGCCACAACCATTTTTTAAGATTTTTATTTATATTTAGAGAGAGAGGAAAGGAGGGAGAAAGAGGGGGACAAAAACATTAGTGTGTGAGAGAAACATGCTCCCTAACTGGGGTCCAGGCTCGCAACTCAGGCATATGCCCTGACTGGGAATCCAGCTGGGGACCTATCGCTTTGTGGAATGACACTCAACTAACTGAGACACACTGGTCAGGACCCACAACAACCCTGCTTGGTGAACCTCACCATCCCACGCTTGCCCATTACTCTCACGGTCTGTGTTCATTGGTGGGGTGGCAGGGTGGAGAGGGTAGGAGTTACAGAGTCGAGGTTGGAGCCTTGACCCTGCCACTTACTAACTGATTGACTTCTATTTCTTTAGGGCCTTGGTTTCTTCACCTAGAAAGTGGTAATACAATACATCCTGAATTAGCCCCACATGAGATTAAATGAGTTAATGTTTACAAAAGCATTCTGTAAGTTGCAAGAAGTGAAATAATAATAAGAGTAAAAATAATGGTAGCCATAGCAGCAGGAGTGGCCACAGCCACCAGCTCTGGTATTTTACGGGTATTTCTGTCCTCCTGGGAATAATCCTGAGCAGTAGGTATTATCTCCACCTTACAGACAAGGAGAATGAGGCTCAGAGAGGGGCAGCACAAGGGGTTTCATCTGCCTGGGCCTTTGTGTCTGGGGAGGGTGTGCTCCAATCTCACTGTGCATTCTGTGGGAGCAGGTGCCAGGAGTTGTTTTCAGAGGGGCCTTTGGGAATAGCCTGACAGTGGTATAATGCTGGCTGACTAAATGAATTAATTCTCAGTCTTTCTGGAATCATGGGGGGGAAAGAACAGATACTTAGCTCCCATTTTACAGAGAAAGTGAGGCCTGAACCTAAGAGTCCTTTTATGGCTCCCAATGGTTACAACTACCCTTGGGTAAAAAGGTTTCTCTTCTCTTCTTAACCCTTCTCCAGGGAGCCTATCTATTTGTTCAGCAAATAAGCTCTGTGCTAGGTACTCAGGCACCTACAAAAAAACCCCTAAAATAAGGTCTGTATCTTTTTGATGAACGTGGCCATGAAAACTAGGGGCTGCAAATGGGACGGGAGCACTGGGAGAAGCGTGCGAAGGGCCATTTGTGCCTGACCGACGCCTGCCTGGATAACCAGGGGGAGAGAGCCAGGCAGTCATTCCAGAAGGGAAGACCCAGCATGTGCAGAACCAAAGGGAGGGGGGAAGAGCTGCGTCCTCCTGCTGTCCCAGGCTTTGCGTCCGTCAGTTCAAGAGTCTGGGGCAGTCTGACTCTTCCTTCCTGATAGGTTCTAGCGGTCTAGTGTGGGGCATTTTTTAAACCTAACCTGGTGTTCCATACTTGTGGCATCTCCTAGGGGAACCAGTTCTTCAGAGGGACTTTCCTGGTTGAGAGTCACCTGAGTGTCCATTAGCAATTTCCTGTCTACAGCTAGTGGGTTCCAGAGGCACAGCAAGTGCTCCCAAAGTACCTGCTGACTGAGTGGACATGGGAACCTTGAGAGTGGAGGATGACAAGAGAACAGTCAGCCTTGAAGGACTTATTTTTCTGAAGGCAGACTGTTGCTACTCACTGAGGAGCCAATATATTAAAAATGCAAAGGACGGCTTTTGCTGAGCCTACCCACTGCGTCTGTGCACGCATACTGCGGGCAGGCACTGCTGGAGGGAAGAGCGACGCTTCCAGAAAGAGGTTGGGAGGAGAAGCTGTGTTGAGGAGAAGCAGAGTATCAAATGGACTAAGACTTCCTTCATTGGAGTTCAACAACGTTTTGCACACCTGTGTGCCCAATCCTGGGGAAAGAGCTGAATGTGAGGTTGCTGCTGACCTTTGGAGGGAGAAAGACATACAAACTCATGCCCTGTGGTAAGTGCAGTGATAAACGGTGTCCACAGGAAGCCCTGGGTCTCGAGTGTCTCAGCAGGCCAGTGGAAGGGTGGGGCCATCCAGATAAGGAGAACAGCAGGGGCGCAGGAGAGACATCTGAAATGGTGAGGTGTGCAGGTGGAACTACAAGTACTTTTCTAAATTAATCACTGCCACTCCACAACTCAGAAATGACTTGGAAACAGGACTCCAAGAGAGGGTGCAGGAAGATACAGGACCTGGGAAGTTTAGAGTTTCAGATTAGTCAAAGAGAGAAGTGAAGCATGAGAGAGAAGTGTGTGCCCACTGTGCGCCACATGGTTGATGTTGAGATTCTGAGTTCGGGCCCAACTGCAGCAAGGAAGAGTGCTCGGGGTGGCAGAGCTTCCCTGAGGAAGTTCGAGGGCTTCGAAGTCAACTGGGGCCAGGTGCAACGGGTGTTAGGGACAGGCCCCCAGTCAGAGGGAGCCACAGGGAAGTTTCCAGGTGTTTAGCTGACCTGCCCTGAGGGGGCTGCTCAAACCAAGTTTGGGGAATATCCTGTCCACCCCAGGGGTTGAAGGTGAAGTAGTATGGGTGCTATAATGAACATTTTAGCTACAGTCACATTCCCAGTATGCTTGTGGACTGCTAGGAAGCAGGCTTATAGCTTCTCTTTTCTCAGAGCACATCACAGAGATGGACAAGGGGCCACATCCAATTAATTCAACAAACTCCTCTAAGCACCTACTTTGAGCAGAGCGCTATGCCAGAAATTGGGAAAACAAACATTTCAGTCATGGTCTCTGCCTTCAGAAGTCTACAGTCTATTATTGTTCCTGGTCTGAGTCAGGCTGAGTAAAAGCCAGCCAGAGTGTGGGAGACAGACACGGCGGGGGTGGGGAACGGGCCAGAAGAAACGGAATTCCGCGCAGAGGGGTAACATCAACAAATGCAGGCAGGAGACCAACAGAGCACGTGCAGGGAAGCAGAGGCAGCTGGCGTGGCTGGTAGCACCACTGGTGGGCACAGTGCAAAGTGGGGGGGGATAGCAGGGGTGGGCCCTGTATGCTGGGCTACAGTAGCAACGGCCACTCAAGGATTTTAAACAGGGGGGGTTTACAAAGCGCACTCCATCTGGGGAGAAGTGATTATACTAGAAGGAAAGGAGGTAGAGAGACCAGCAAGGAGGCGACTATGTGCTTCAAAGGGCCTAAGGTGGAGCAGTGGTTATTAAGAACAGAGAGGAGAGGCCAGGTTTCAGACACATTCAAGAGGTAGAATGACAGAAATTGATACTTAATGGGCTTTAAGGGGGGAGGGGGGAGGGAGGGGACAAAAAAAAATCCAAGTTTCTGTTTAGGAATCCAGGAATGGTGGTACTTTTATAGAGAGAGGAACACAGGAGGTGAACAGGTTGGAGATGGGGGGCGGAGTCTAGCTGTGAATGTGCTAGATAGACAGCTGGTTGCCCTTCTGAGGAGGATGGTGGGAAACAAAGGCTCTGAATTCCCAGGTCTGCCCCATGGGGCAGGCATCCACCTTTACCCTTGACCAAGAACAGCTCTGGATTCTGGAAGGAAAGCCTTGTTTTCAATGCCTAGACTCTGGATTATGGTATGTAGGTTGGTCCTGCTTTGGCTCCAATAATGCTAGAAGACCAGAGGCCCAGGACGAGGGGTTGGTACGTTATCTCCTCCATTTGTAAGGTGGTAACTGTGTACCAGGCCTGCTAGAAGCCCTGCAGCTGGGGATCACACTGATAAATTCACTGTATTACTTTGCACAAATCAATATCCCAGCACTTACCAGGGTTTGATGTGACCGAAATTGGTTTCAGCCAATTCGAGAGGGTAATAAATGGCCATTTATCAAATCAATTCATTCTGCGGCACTTCTCTGTCTGCCCATCATCATGGTACCCCTGGGGTGGCAAGGGCCACCCAGCCAGTTCCTAGCGCACATATGACACTAGTCTAGGGAACCCAGGGAGGCTGCTGACCCAGAGAATGTCTCAGGTTTCACCTGGATAGGTGGCCAAATATTATCTGACCATTTTAAGTGTGGTCCCTAGCTGGGGGGCTTCTAGCAGGTGGGCACATAGTTGTTGCCTTGTAAATGAAGGTGCTAACTTACCAACCCCATACACAGCCCAGGCTCCAACAGCCTCTGTCTCTTCTGGGGTCGCTGGAGCCATGGCAGGGTCAACCTACACACCACAGGACAAGCAGTAGGGCCTTCCTGATCCGAGGCACAGTCTGGGTGACAGAATGGAGCTTTGGACAGAAGCACTCAGGGTAGGCATTCTGACAGCCCTTAGGAGATGAGGAGCTGAATCATCTACTCCTGCTTGGGTCCACGACACAGGGACATAGATGGGTGGGGCAGCGGAGAACTGTAGGACTAGGGAGAGAGGCCAGCCTGGGGCTAGGACTAAGGATCAGTCCCAGCTTGAAGGAAACAGCTGTGGGCCTGGCCGAAAGCACATGGCGGCCAGCCCTAGACAGTAAACATCTTAAGGACAGGGACTAGGTTTTATTCAGGGCTGCCCGGCACACACTGGGAAGAGCATGTGCTCTATAGTCAGGCCATCTGGATCTGGCCCCCCAGTACACAGGGGAGGACCCTGATGCTCAGAGAAGCTAAGTGAACAGCCTGAATGGCACAACTGGTAAGTGCTGAACTGCTATTTAAGCCCAGGCTGGTCAAATTCTTTCCATCTCAGTGTTCCCCACTCCCCCAACTCCTACTTCTAGGAGCTACATATCGTATGGGCTTGAGAACCTGGTGAGAAGCAGGAGGTCAGAGGAGCAGGCAACCTGCTGGGAAAAGGCTGTGTAAGAAGCAGGGGGAAAACACTATGATGGCAGAGGTAGTTCTGGCCCAAATGGACAGGAGACTCCAGCAGAGATGCTATCTTAGGTCTCTGCCCAGGTAATCTCTCTCTCCCACAGGCTACTCCTTCTCTCTCCAACCCCTGAGAGCTCCCAGGGTCTCTCCTCCCTCCACTTCACACACGATGTTGGCAAATAAGTGGGAGGTTTCCACCTCCAAGGGGGTGGCTGAGGGTGGGTATCTGTATCTAGACCTGAAAGGGCAGCTTGGTGTGGTTTGGGTCTGAGCAGTCGGGCCTTATACATTAAAAAAAGCTTTCCCTAGCTCCTGTGTGTGCCAGGAGGCAGCTGGCTGACCTCTTGCTGGTGAGACAGCTCTGATCACTGGGCTACTGTTATCTGTTGATGGGGTCAAGCCCTTGATGAGGGGCCCACAGCTGTCACATGAGTCCCGCTGGTGTATGTGAGGATGATGAAGATCAGGCTCGGTTCTGTGTATCACAGGGACAACCAACTTCATTTTCCAATTATTCCTCTAATTGGTTTCCTAGGGCTGAAAATGCCACCCCAGAATATCCCAGAGGGGCACAATTTCAGCCTGATGCCTCCTTCATCCATGAGCAGAACCTGGTGTTGTCCTTGGCAGTTGCTGAACTGCATGTGGTGCGACCAAATGTTTGGAGAGGAGAGGTAGGCCGCACGTGAGGGGAACTGACCAAGACAAGACGGAGGTTTTTAGACTTCAGCTGAGCAGCTACATCACCTGCAGGGCCTGTTAAAACATGGGTTGCTTGGCTCCATCCCCAGTTTCTGATTCCACAGGTCTGGGGTGTGGCCTGAGCTCTGCATGTCTAATGAGGTTGCAGAGGACGGTGACGAGACTGGTCCACGGACCATGCTTTGAGAACCACTGCCTTAAGGACATCCCCTTCTCTAAACCAGGGATGGGTTCCTCCACCCTCGCAGTGTCTGAGGTCACCCCGAGGGAGTCATGTGCTTGGGTCGGGGGGTTGGCATGGGTAGGAGGGGCATTAGGCTACTGGTTATACCGGCGGGTAGTATGGCTCCCAGGGGTCAAAGTATGGGACGCAGGAGCTTCTGGGGTAGAGAAGAAGGCACTCAAAACTGGTTCAGGACGTTTTACCTAAAATTGAGTCAGTGGCAAAAGATAGGAGCTGCTACCCTACTTGTTATGGACAAGCTCCTGTTTCTCTCTGGGTCTCAGTTTCCCTACCTGAAAAGTGGGGATGTGGAAAACTGTACCAGCTAAAGGCTAGAGTTAAAGTGTAAATATAGGAAAAGCAGCCTTTAGCAAGTATTTAAGTGCTCTGTGACTCAGCTTCCTCATCTGTAAAATGGGGATTTAATGGTACCAAACTCACAGGGTTGCTACAAAGATTAAATGATAGAACATATGCGAAGAGCTTTTCCTAATGCCTAATAGAAAGTACTCAACAAATGTTGTAATATTTTTAGCTCCCTCCCCAGCATGGTGACAGCAGAATGTACAGTTTGTTGCAGCAGACCGTGCGCTCCCCTGCCCTTTTCAGTGTGGGCTAGCATCTCACACACTCACCTGCACCCACGGTGGCGATGGCATTCTCCTGGCCAATGATGTGCTCCTTCAGCCGCTGCTCCAGTGGAAATCGGCGCCGCTCCTCAGCTTCACGCTTCCGCTGCTTCTCCTGGTACTGTGGGGAGAGCAAAGGTGGCTCAGGAGTGCCGGGCCCAGCAGGATCCTAGTTCCGTTCTATCCCCCATCTCAAAACAGAGACCTGGCTCTCCAGGGCCAGGATGCACAGCTCTGGCTCATGATCGCTGCAGGCCCAGTCCTTCCCCGTCCTCTCATCTACCCCTCACCCGTCTCCTTACCTCAGCTGGCCACTGTTCAGGGGTCCTGGCTCATCCTGCTAGTTAAGTAAGTATGGCTGTTAAATTAACCCTTGACTCTAAAGTCTGACAGAAGACCTGGGTTTGAATCCCAGTTATATCACTTACAAAATGTACTTCTCACCTTGAGGAAGTTACTTCACCTCAATTTTACCTGTTAATTAGGGATTAAATATGATGATCTATATAATGCACCCAGCATCGTGGCCGGCATGCAGTAAGTGCTTAACAAATACAGGTGCTTTTCCCTTTCCACTTATCCTCTTGAAAACCTTCTTCTTTTTTTGTTTTTAAAATATTTTATTTTTATTTATTTTTAGAAAGGGAGGGGAGGGAGATAGAGGGAGAGAAACATCAATGTGCAGTTGCTGAGGTCATGGCTTGCAACCCAAGCATGTGCTCTGACTGGGTATCGAACCTGCAACACTTTGGGTCGTAGCCCGCACTCAATCCACTGAGCTACGCCAGCCAGGCCAAAACCTTCTGGGCTTTCAACCAGAGTTATGAACACCCTCCACTTCAATGATATTGCATTTCAATTAAACACAATCATTCCTCAATTGCTATGTGCTAAGCCCTGTGCACACCATGGTGGAAAGGTGGGGCAGGGAGAAGGAAGAGAACTGTGCTCCACCTCCTGGGAGGTCCCAGTGATGCTGAGTGCCTGGCATGTGCTGGCCCTGCGTGTGGTCCGCTTTGTAAAGGCAGAAGCCCCTGAGCTTGCTCGCATTGTGAGGAAGGAGAGAGAGAGCCAGGCGCTGCTGTCAGGAAGGTCAAAGTCAGGCAGGGGAAGTGAGGCAGGGTCTGTGCACAAATATTTTTCAGGCAGAATCGACCATTCTCCTCAGTTCCAAAGCATCACATCCATTTCTAACCCTGTGCCTATCACTACCCACCCACCCTCTAAAATCCTGAACCCCTTGAAAACAATTTTGTTGCATGTTTATGAAAGTGTACTCTACTCTAAATCAATGATGAGCTCCTTGAGGGCAGGCACTGTTTTTTCCCTCACTGCTATTTCTAGCACAAGTCTTGGCACAGTAGAGGCATCAGTGAAAATGTCTGCAAAAATGAATGTGACGACGGACAGAAAAAGGAATTAACAGCTAGACTGGGCGGTGCCGGAGTCCAGAGAAGGAAAGGGTGCATAACGTGTGGAACATGTTGGGGGTGCTTTCTGGGAGACAGGAGGCTGGAAGAAGCTGGAGTACTGGGCCAGGTGGAAGTCGTGGGACTATTCGTAGAGCAGGCAGGGAGGGGTGAACGCATGGGCCCTGTGAGAAAGCACTTAACTGAAGCCAGGGGAGAGGGGCAGAGAGCAGGTGCTGGGGTGGAGGATGCAGGAGGCTCCTTTACCCTCAGACCCCTGAAGTACTGACAGATTTCCAGAAAGCAAGCTGCCAAGGTAAGGCCCTGTCACAAAAGTTGTGGCTGCAGATTGCTCTTGTGGGCGAGTGGATGAAAAATACCTGCTGGTTGGGCAGTGTTTTCCTGTTACAGTAGTGACCTTGACAGAAGTTAAAAAAAATAAATAGCAAACAATCCAATTTTGGTTGTTGCTATCAGTCTGTAACTGAAAGCTCCCATCAGTCCTGGGGTTTCATATGGAGCAATAATTCGGCGCCAATCCCAGCGGAGCGACGCTTGCCGGCTGGAATCCAGAGTGTCACTGTGCAGCTCCCTCAGGCGCCACATACATCACCTGGCTCTGACGACTCCAGTCATATATCTGCCTCCTCCTCCACCCTGCCCACCCGGCCCCTCTCAGCACTCGGGTCCACTCTGCTGGAAGGCTGACAGTGAGATGCACACAGACTGGCTGGTACAGCCCTGGCTAGCGGCCTGGCGGGCCTGCAGTCAGGAGGACCACGGAGGGGCTCGAAGCGGTGGAGGCTGTCCTCCACTGTGTGCTGGGCCTCTTTCCTCACTTCCCCTCAGTGACGGGCATTCCCACCTCTAGGCCTTTTGCTCACACTGCTCCCTCACCACAGAAGTTGCCCCCATTCCCACTCATCCCTAGTGCCTCGGTGATCTCTGCTTCAATACTACATTGTCTAAAAAGCCTGCTGTAAGGCTTTGTGCATGCGCCAGGACCTATGGAGCACTTACTTGACTGCCTGTTTATCTCTCCTTACTGGTCCATAAAGTCCTTAGTGACAAAGGCTGTATGTTTTTCACCTCTACAGCTCCAGCACCCAGCAGAGCCTGCTCGTGGAAGGAGTCAACACATGCTGTCAGCCGAAGGAGGTAACTACTATCTGTGGACTCTAGGCTGTGCTCCAGGCACTGTACTCAGCATTTGGTACAGAGCATCATATTTGATTCTCACAGCTGTCCCCATCTGAAGTTTGGGGCAGGGCAAGTGGCAAAAAGAAGCAGCTTTGCTTCAACAGACCTGAATTCAAACCTCCCCTCATCTACCTATTAGCTAGCTGGACCCTGAGGAATTTAATTCACCTCCTTGAATTTCAGTTTCCTCATCTCTAACATGAGGATGGCTCTGGTACCTACCTTGCAGGATCCTTGTGGGACACTGGTGGGGATTAGATGAGATAACGCATACAAAGTGCACAGCAGAGTCTCTGGTGCAGTGAATGTGTACATACGAGTGGTACGTGAGAGACTCCAGGGGAAAGCACAGTACCTGGCCCTCGGGAGGCCTCTATGCTAATTTAATCTGCATGAAGCTCTGTGCATAAAAAGAAGAGGTGCTCTGGCTCAAGCAGAAGCCAGAAGCCAAGTCCACTTGGATGCCCCCACTGCCCCAGAAGTGGCCCCTGACTCCCTCCCCCGAGGAACCCAGCAGGGTACAGTCCCAACACCGACTGGGCTCCACTGTGTGTCCTTGCATGGTACAGAATTCTGCCTCTAGGTACTTTCTACCCACTGTTCCGTGCAGCCTCACAGAACAGAACACATCTTTTTCCTTTGCTGTGGACCAAGCCCAACATGACTTTCCTCACCCTTTACTGATTTGGGTACAATCACCATGACCTCCTTGTTTTCTCCAGGGAAACATTTCTATGTCCTGTAACTCTTCTTCAGTGTCATGGTTTTAGGGTATCTTACAATTCCTGCTATTTTCTTGGGCAAGGGGAAAGGGTCCTTGAGTTCTATGGGGGCAAGGGTAGGGAAAGGTTACATCATGACCTGGCTAGTTTCTCAGAACTTTCTAGATGGTCCCGGGAAAGATTTAACCCATGGCCTAAATCTGAGCATGTCCTGATTCTCTATTGGCTTGGAGCACTGAATACCTTTTCAGAAAAACTTCTGAAAATGCATTAGAATTTTAGACAAAAATGTACAGGATGCTGGAATTAAATCATGTAGAAGATTACTGCTTCATGCTCTTTCTCTAATGCTTAGCAGACTTTGTAAAAAAAAAAAAAGTGTTGAATTAATTACTTTTTAAGGCATGAACTATGAGCCCAGGCCTGTGAAATGCTAGCCAGTGGAAGAACCTAGGAAAGGAAAGTACTTGGTCTGTATATACTCTTCTTGGGAAAGAAGAGAGAGGAGAATGGGAGAAGACACTTGGGAAGGACTCCACAGTTGTGGGTTACTATTGTTCCTGGCTTTTTGAGGAGATGGGAAGGAAGGCTACAGGGACTAAGGTCAAGGCTGTGCCTTTACAGGGTTCCACTAGAGAAGATAAGCAGGTAACCCAGCTTACAGAAGCAGAGGGTGCTGGCCCGAGAGACACTAGGAAGAAGCCACCCAGGACAGCAGGAAGGGGGGAGTGATCATCTTCTTAATAAAAGCCATATGCAATTAGCTTCAGAAGCCCTCACCTGGAGCCAGCAGCAACCAGCTCCCTACGCTACATCTTGGCTAGATAATCGCGGCCACTGGTTTCCATCACTCTTGATTTAATATGGCACCCCTCCTGGCTGTGAGTGCATTTACAGGAAAGGGCTGGGAGGCCAAGGCAAAGCCTAGTTGAGCTTGCTTAGAGGTGGGTAGCTGGACTGAGTGTGTCTGCAGGGGAGGGTTACAGGGAGGAGTAGGTCAGCCACCATTACCGGTGGGTATTTCTCAGGGAGCAGGTCTGATAATGAACCTGGCAGTGTGTTCACTGAGAGGGTGGTTGGGGCAGGGGTGGCAGGTGTAATGAGACTTTGGGCAGGAATGAGATAGGTACTAGGAGGAAGAGAAGAGGCCAAGCTGCAGTTTGCCTCTTGTGGGAGTTCAGGGCCACAGAGTCCACTGGCTGCTCACAGACAGACAGGCATACCCCACTCTTCTGATTCCAACCCCAACTCACATCATAGGCAGGGCTTCTACCAGGCCTGAAGCTGGGGTTGACAGAGAGCTGGGTAGGAAGGCCAACAAAGGGGACCAGGGGGCAACATATGAGATGCAGGGGATGTGATGAGAAGAAACCTGAGTGGGGGAATGATGACAAGAGGAGCCCAGGGGATGCAGACCAGATGTGAGAGACCAGGTGATGAGACAGGCACCCAAGGGACTTGAAAGTCTCTTGAGCCACGGGCTAGTGTGGCTCAGTTGGTTGGGCATCGTCCCACAAACTGAAAGGTCACCGATTTGATTCCTAGTCAGGGCATATGGCTGGGTTGGGAGTTCAGTCCCTGGCTGGGGGTGCATATGAGAGGGAACCAGCCGATGTTTCTCTCTCACACTGATGTTTTTCTCCCCTCTTTTGCCCTCCCTTCCCCTCTCTTTAAAAAAGAAAGAAAGGAAGTCTCTTGAACAAGCTCATAAAGTACACATTTCTGTAGAGGAAAGCTGGGCACAGGGCAGGCATCTGTCCCATCAGCCCAGTGACCACTATGTCAGCATC